ATATAACATCCCAACGGTTTATTAACCAGAAGGCAAATACGAAGTGTTGATTACGTTTATTACGAGACCACACACATATATCCAAATGTACAGATGCGTTAAACAAGCATAGAAGAGTTGTGCCGAAAGGCAAGCAAGCGAGCGAGAGCCATGGCAAGAGCGAGACGAGTGTGTGTGTGTGAGTGAGTGAGTGAGTGAGTGAGTGAGTGAGTGAGTGAGTGAGTGAGTGAGTGAGTGAGTGAGTGAGTGAGTGAGTGAATGTGAATAACATGGACATATATATAGCATGTGAAATGAATGAGTAATCGAATCAAATAATCAGTTAGTAGTAAGACTAGCAGAGTGAATAAATGCGTAGACCGTAAGCAATATTCAAGCATATGTATTTCATACAAGCACAACAATAATAAGAGTACAATAAGCTGTTATAGTGCGGATAACTTTGTCCGCTAAATGAGTTAGCAAAAGGGCTTAACTGCGTTAGATGAGACTAAACTCATTTGCACGTGAGTTGCTATAACCTTCAGTATCGCACGTGAACACTTGACCTCCAGACCATTGTGTCACTATCAATCAGTGGCAGTTTGTAACCTCAGTCAATCCACGATACTGCGCGACCATCTTCAATTGCCTTCTGTGGGTAGCTGCCTCATACCTGTAAACATGACCTATTGGTTGTTGGTATTTGTATTTTCACTTAGAATGAACTAATTTATTGTATCTTTTCTAGTTATTTAAGTACAATGATGTTTACTGACTCGATTATCTTATCTCAAAACATGGGAACCAACGTTTTATTCTCATTTCATTACCTTTAAAATATAGCTATGTAGTAATTGTTCAGTCCATTTAATCGCATTAGATCCTTATTGACGATATTCCATCTATTGAAGAATCACCCTTAACACAAAACATATCAAATACTAATAAACTGTATTCAAGAGAATTAACCAGAATATGATTTGTACCAACAGTTTAGTAGTTGAGATTTAAATACATTTAGGCACTAAACTATCACTCTATGGATTAGATTCTCTTAACTGAACTACTCTCATTTCATAATTAATAAGCATGTGACTCATATGGTATTTCTATCACTTTAAACTGATTAATGGAACTTATTTACTGCTGTAAGTGACATCAAACTATTCATGTCATTCAATAACACTAAATATAATTAAATGAATTGTGGTATCGGTTATTATGTTAAGTCCATATACTTTATTCTAGCTTTCGAACAGCCCATTCTATTCATTCTTCTTGAGTCACGTTCTGACCTCATTATTAATTATTCGCTTATCAATCTTGACTGTTTTTATATGAACGTGTAGATGTGTGTACATTTCTTATCCCATTACTCATCATATGTCTGTAACTTACTTCTGTGTAACTATAAATATTGATTAACGCTTGGTTAAATGGCAGTTGGCTTACTCACCATCTCCACTACGCGATTTAAGTCGATGATTATATACCAGGATAGTTGATAACAAACATTCATACGATCTGACTGAAGTCAGATCCACGGGCCATTAAAGTGAAGAGCCCTTCCGACCACATCGTTCAATCTAAATGACGACAAAATTCAAGGACCTCACTAAAGAATATTATATGTTAACATTAAGAAATGGAAAACTCATATGTTAGCTAAAATAAGATTTTGTGATAGGTTAATAAGTGATGATAGACATACTCAGCCGCTCTAAATATAGAAGATTATCTTACAGGTAAAAACTGACTTCTCTGTTAACTCTAACCGTATTTCACTCTGCGTTGACAGCTTATAATTTATAAACTGTTGTTTGGTCTAATCTAGTTCTTAATCAAGAAGTTGGATAACTGAAACAAGTATGCCACATGACCGAGTATAATTTGATTGAGCCCCTGGGCTACTTAATTCAACATCTAGTGCTCAGTGAAAACAATAATACTAATTGTTAAGCTTGTGTTATGTAACTACATTCACTACCTTTCCAATCCTCTTTGTATATTACATTATACTACTTACTAATCATTAAGTAACCAGCTTTAATTCTTATAACTTAATTGCATAATATTTTCAAGTACTTATATAAACAGCTAACATTCAGTTTAGTTATTAATGAAGCTGTATCTTCTTAACATTTATAACAGTTCCCAAATTTCGTGTTCTTTCCTTTCATTTTGATAATATATCTCGTAATTTTGGCACAGCTATTAGCTGTTGTCGTATTACTTATTTACTTAGTTACGCCTGTTACTCCTAATGGAGCATAAGCCGCCGACCACCATTCTCCAACACATTCTGTCTTGGGCCTTCTTTTCTAATTCCATCCAATTCTTGTTCATTTTTCTCATCTCTATCTTCATTTCCTGGCATAATGTGTTATTTCGTCTTCCTCTCCTACTTTGGCTTTGAGGATTCCAAGTGAGGGCTTGTCTTGTGACGCAGTTGTGTGCTTTCCTCAATGTGTGTCCTATCCACTTCCAGCGCTTCTTCCTCCACTGGGATCTGGTTTGTTCTCTCCCACAGTAGGTTGTTGCTAATAGTGTCGGGCCAACGGATCCGAAGTATTTTGCGTAGACAACTGTTAATAAACACCTGTATTTTCTGGATGATGGCTTTCGTAGTTCTCCAGGTTTCCGCCCCATACAATAGAACTGTCTTGACATTTGTATTGAAAATCCTGACCTTGGTGTTGTGTTGTCGTATACCTTAGGTTATTTGCTGTTAACAACTTGAAGGAAAAGCTATTCTCTAACTGGACAAGAACTGGATAGATACAACAGACGTATAACGAATAAAGATTTGCAATGTATTCTATATATTTTTTCATTGTCATGTTTTACACATCACTTAATTGTGTCATCAAAATCTCCGACCATGAGAAATCAATCTTAAACAGTCTTTATTCAAAACAAACAAGTGAAATTAAAGAATATAGAATACAGGATGACAGTCTATGTAAGAGTATAAAACAACTACGATGAATTTTAGTTAGATAAAAAGCAGTCTTTGTAAATGAGTATTTGGTGGCCCGAGGTCTGACTCCAGTGAGGTCGTTCCTGATTGCTGTTGAGATATATATATCATCAATCCTCGTATGTAAATATCGACTTAGATAGCGTTAGTGAGTAACGGAGTTAAAAAAAAGTCAAATACAAAAATGGATTTCCCAATATATATATTTTGTACAATCTTTGATTCAGACAAAATATCAGAGGATCGAAGAGAAAAGAGCGAAGCGATATGACGCACAGTGGAGAAGGCATGTGAGCCAACTCCATTTAACCAAGCGTTAATCAATATTTATAGTCACACAAAAAGAAGCTACAGACATGTGATAGATGGGATAAGAAGGGCACACATATACGCTTACATAAAAATAGTCAGGATTGGTAAGCGAACAATTAACAAGGTCAAAATATGGACTTAAGAAGAATGAATAGATTGGCCAGTCCAGAAGCTAGAATAAGGTATACGGGCTTAACACAGTAAGCGACACTACAAGTACATGGTGAAAATTAAACATTAGTATCATAAAGATTAGACAGATTTTACATAATTAGTAAATTTATTGAAGTCTTCTACAGGTTATTTTGTCTGTAAATCGAAGAAACAACAATATACAAATCTGTCCATATAAGCATAGATCATCACCTTTTGTTGAAGTTCTGTAAGGATGTAAACAGTTCTACGAGATTTTGCACACTTCCTGGTTAGGGTTTGGGGTTACGACTATGTTTAGAGTATATAGAGTTAGGAATAAAAATCTTATAGTCAAACGCACACTTCTAGCCATAACACAGTATTAAATATACATCTTAACATCCCCGTTTGTTCGAAGAATGAATAACACACAAATTGATTTGAAACACAATAAACTTGCAACTCCCAACATATAGATTTAATCAACAAAGACCAAATTATTTCTCACGAATTTATATTACATAACAACATTTAACTGATTTTCTGTAACATCTTCCTTGTAAATTAATGTGAATTAAGCTGTAATTCCTCTTCAGTGCTAACAAACCTTTGCTTGACTAGTGTTCAATACTTAATTGAAACTATTTGGTTCGAAAGTGGAATGACTTAGTTGAGGATAAACACATACAGTTAGTAGTTAACATCATAGAATGATCTTAGTTAAACGACTAATAAATATCAGGAAGCACTGAACAGCTGTTTCCTTTGAGTATGGGACGTTTTAACAGTGTACACTCACAATCCCCTCCCTATTAAGGATTGAATTCATGACCTTCGTTTTTTGCAAATAAACGCATAATCTCTAGACTACTGGGTCAGCATTTATTGGTTTAACTGTTCTTAAGTTAATTTTATCTGACGCTTTGATTTGAACATTTTGGTTGCTCGTTATACACTTTTATTCTAACTAGTATAGTGGAAAAACACCCAAGTTTATTTCAAAATATTCTTGAATCTAAATTGTGTTCTCTTATAATTTCGATCGATGTATGTTGTTAGTTGGTGTATAGCATGCGTACAAAGTTGACATGATACACAACAAAACCAGTCTCAATAAGAGTTGACATGAAGAAGACTGAATACCAAAAGAGCAAATATCCATTCTAACTCTGGACAATTTAGATTGTCTTCAGATTCTCTTCACTCTTTTATATAAACATTCAACATCAAAAACAAACCTTATACATCCACCCACTCCATAAAAATGTTAGTTACACTACAAGCTATATTTATTTAAACACATAAACATTGATACAAGGAGGCACCAAATATATATGGGGCACGCTTTGTCATTCGGTTTGTTTGGGGGCTGGAATACTGTCCGGATGTCCAAACGAAAATAGGTGGTTTTCTTAGGAGGCCACACTCGGAGCCTCTGATCTAAAGGTCTAATCCACAAGGTAGTGGAGTAGTCCCATGGTAGCCGGTAACCAACAATAAGGTCATACGCCAGGATCCTGGAGCCCATGTGCACTATTGGTTTGTAATCAGGGTTTTCCAATCCCCTAGGTAGATCTTCTATATCTACCAACCCGATTAAAGAGCTGGACATTCGCTTCCGTTCTCTCAATCTCATAAACGACTATCCGGTCTCTTAAAGGCAGTGAGTAGAACCTTCATGGCAGTGGTTGTATACACGTGGTTATATGAGAGTATTTTGAGAGAGCTGACTCTGCCTACCCTAGACAGTATCAGGGCATTTGGGGGCATACTATAAACTAAGAACAAATAATTATTCAAATAAGTTTATTTTACACTACAATATTCTCCTCAAAATACGGAAAACTTCCCAAATATAAACCAAGAGCTAATTGTCTACCACGTAAACAATATGTTTCAATATGTACATTAAGATATTGTTTACAAGAACAACAATCAGCAATATATTCACAAGTCCCTTGATTATCACCTATTGGCCAACTCATTTGAATCAACTGACCAATAGACGAATTTCTTGGTAGATATATTAAAATTTTGTTACAAATATGTCTTGAAATATTTAATGCTTTATTAAGAAAGAGAATATCTTCAAGATTTTTAATAGGTTCCATTTCTTTCAAATCATATAACCAATGTTTCCGTTTACGTTGATTCCAACTAGACGAGCCAGGTGGAAAAATGTTTCCAATGTAATCAGGACCACCCCAAGGTGGTGACATGAATATGATATCGATAAGTGAGTTAAATGTAGAATTAGTTGGCTTCTCTAAAGTCCCATTTTCATTCAACTCTGGGTTCACTTCTAATGTGGTCTCTGTATTAGCTAATAAATGTGATGATGAACTCTGATGTTCAGATAGATTGAAGTCGGGTTTCAAAATATTATCATCTATATTAATCGATGTTTCGGACGAAAAATCTGCAGATTGTTCATTATTTCCAGATAATAATGTACTTCGGTTATTCTCAGATGAACGTATAGAAGTTACTTTCAAGTGATCACTTTCATATTGATTTTCTAAAGTTCGCACGCTTATATCATCATCACCAGTTGTAAAACTTGTAGACGACAATCGAACAATTCTTAAACTACTTAAAATTTTTTCAACGTCTCCACAAACAAGCATAATGTTTGACAAAACACCATATATTTGTGCATTAATTTGGAGCATTAATAATCGCGGGAAACAGTTTTCAATGGCTAAAACTAGAATTGAACGAAAACGAAATAAATGAAGTTTCCGGGCAACTTAAAGCAATGACGAGGTTGAACTTTACAAAGTCACATATATGATATCAAGTAATACTGTAGCTCGTTAAGTAGGATAGGACATGCATACTCAATAGTGTTTTGGTTTTTCCCTTAAATTTTTGACAAGTATTGTTTGACAAAATATTAATTCACCTTGTTTGATCATACACACAGTGGCCAATCGTAGGAATCAAATATGGAGTGAGTGATAGTTAGGAATATAGTACTTGAATAAATTATAAATTCGTTGAGATAAGTATTACGTTTTGATTATGCTTGTTATATGTCCTATTTGTAGACCGGTGCTAGTTTAGGATAAAAGTTGTGAGAAGTTACAAAGTGATAAGATTATAATACTAGATTATGTGATACGAATAATAAAAATAGATTTAGTGAACATAATAAGATGATTAAAATGATGATTAAAAGAACCCAGCTTGGTTCTATAAAGGTAAAAGGAAAGCAGCTAAGAGTTCTATACTTCAACACCTAATCGACTGTAACCATTCTACAGATCTATAATTTAATTTTAAGGTTGTTTATATGATTCGTTCAAATCTACCCAGATTTCTTCGTATCCAACTCTTAAAAATAGACGAAGCTCTTACCATCCAGGAGCTTAAACCAGTGCGTCTTATCGTTACCTTGGCCTTAACTATTTTGATTATATTATTATTATTATTATTAATATTATTACTATTATTACTGCATTCTCCCTTTACTTATGTCTTATATTCTCATTGTTTTATTCGTAAATACTCATCATATCACCTTATTAATTTTCACACCTCTATGGCCTTTAATTATTATAACAAAAACATTTTAATCATCTTACTATATTCAGTAAATCTATTGTTATTATTCGTACTACGTAATCTAGTATTATAACCTTTTTATTAACTGTGTTCACATTTCCTCACGAAATTAGTACTTTTACAAAATTTTCATATATATACGATTGTACAGCTTGATACTAGATTCGTTGAAAAGAGATCCCTTCGCTGAACTTCATGTTTTTTAATTTTTAATGTTTAAATGGGAATTATCTGTCAGAAGTGATAAGAAGCAAAATGAACTTTATCAGTCCACCAGGGTTGTTGGTACCTGCCTGTATGGTTGCAACATCTGATTGAGCTGTGCTATTCGGGATGTAAAGACCCTGGATGGCATCTGATTATTCTGAAATCTTCTGTAAAGTCGTTCGATTGTCCGGTGGCTTAACCACGAATGGGACTTGGTTGGGTAATTTTACTCACTCTGTTAGTGTGGTATGGAAATCTGAACCGATACACATGACTGACTGATACTAACCAAACTTTATTACTTGGCAAAAATCGGAAACAGCGTACAAAATCCTACCTAGAATGTGTATTATCCAGAGCCGGACAGATCAACTACTAAGTGGGATATGAACTAATTAACATAAAAGACTGGTGATAGAATACTTAAAACATTCTGATCGGAAATCAAAAAAATATATATTCCGGCTATACAATTAAGAACAACAGTTGGTTTGAGTTGTAGAAAAAAAGGTCGATCCTGTTTTTTGTGCAAAAAGCTAGAACCGAAAATCTGTATAGTCTTGTTTCACAATTTCAAAATGCGAACCGACTGGATCTTCAACATAATTTGTCAGTGATAAATAAAATTAGATAGTTAACTGTGCAGAAGCAAAACTAGTTGCATCCTGATAAAATACTTTGGTAGTAATTCGGCCTAGTATACTTGTCATTTCGGTTATCTACATAGTCATAGATTTTCACTGAAGTGGTTCAGTTTTGAAAAGACCTCTGACCATGAATACAATGAATTAAACTGAACATAGACTAAGCAGGATTGGGAGATCAAAAATTCTATATATAAATTTGTATAGGTTTTAATCAACCAAATTTATCGTTCGGTACTGGTCAGTGACAGATACCATCACTAGAAAATTGATTGATATACATAGTTCAATGGACTGGATATCATTTTACACATCGCTGTATGCAATTTACAATTATCCTAGTGTTGGCTCGAAATTTGTATACAAGATTAGTTCTTTGAAATAAATAAAAAGACTGTACAAATATGATTACTTAGGTAACCATCCGCTCTTTTCAGCCGAAACATTCAGCGAATGAAATTAAAAAATGCTCAACTAGAATAAACCTCTATAATGTATTATAAACCGAAAAGAACCTATTTTAGCAATTGGAACCTTTGACTAATGACAGTAAGAACTGCACGGCTAGTTGTATACGTACAATTTACAAAACTAGTGACAAAAAATGAACTTTAGATTGATCACTTACCAAGTTGACAAGTGCGCGCAAACTGTATAGTATTTCCACCAACACCCGCAAAAGCATCTACGAGTAAATCACACGAACAAGTTTTCGCCTGGTGACGAGCAATAGCTTCTGGTGTTATGCTGTACCATGCTTCTAGTAGAAAATATGTAATAAAGCAGGAAAATACTAACTTAATCCTCACTTCGAAAATGAACATACAATGAATTTGATTTAGAATCCTTCACACTACAGCAGTTTGTCAATAAACAATATTAGACATTTTTAAAGCAGTTATGGCACAGTTCGTTTGCACTCCTATAAAAATACAACCGCTAAATCCTACGTATAGATGTCCCTCGAAACATGTGGGCGTTAGTGTATAAGTTGAGTTTATGATAATATTCGTTTTCTCCACTAGTATTTATCATGGTCAGACGGGGAATATGGTCCAGATGACCAGACCGACGTACGTCATTTTTAGAGGGTTTATGACACAAGGCAATAGATCATTGTCAGAATATGAACCCTCATGATAGCCAGTGACTAGAATAGATTTGCACACTACTTATTTCCTCAGGTTTCTGGAAGTCATACATAACATTTGTTGGAAATCAGTTTTCTCGATTACCATAGGTAAGTACCATTTTAGCGTCAGATACCCACACATCTGAAACCAGTAAGAAGTTTTAAGTTTTACGTGGCCTTTATCCAACTTACTAATCAAATAATCTTTTGTACTCAGCTTTCCCTCAAAACTTGTGTACTAGAGCTGGTGACCAAATGACTTCACGAAACGATGTTCAGACCTGAGGCCCAAGGGTTAAAAGTCCAGTGCTTGGAGAACTAAGTCACCACCTAATTTTCATGCAACGAAAATGGATTAGATTAATGTTTTCTAGAAAACTCGTGAGAGAAAAAAGAGAAAGATGCGTGAAACGAAAAATATTTAGTATAACTAATCAATACCCTATAAGTAGAAGCACTAATCCAAGAAAAGGTATGGGTAGCTCTAGAATACATTCTTTGATTATATGAAGTGAGAGAGAACTTAACAAACAACGTCAAATAACGAACATAACGACACTAGAGTTCCATAGTTTACATTTAACAACGGAACAAAGGAACATAAATCTTCATGACAATGTGTTTTTTCTGAACTATTCTCAAAGTAACAAAAATTTTACACTGCACCTTAATTAAGACTAATCTAAAAGCAGATTGGAAGGTAGACATTTCTCAGTATTTTTTCTAAACCTATGAAATAAATGAAATAAAAATGCCAACGGTAAGTTACGTCTTACCCTATGTTGGTTGGGACTGGCCTAATGTTTTTTAGGTAGAACTAACTGTCCAATGATACGGCGAGACTCTAATTTAGGGACGAGCCAATCAGAAGCGTTTGAGCAATTTCAAGGTCACGGAGCCAAGTTCAACACGCGCTGCTAACATACGATCGGTTCACAGCGGATTTTAGAGAGTAGGTGATTAATGAGAGGTTACAACAGATGGGACGGCGAAACTCTATTTTAGGGACGAGCCAATGAGAAGCGTTTGAGCAATTTCAATTATTGGCCAATCAGAAGACAGTATACAGTAAAAATATATTACAAGAAAGTAATGAATTACAGTGGATATTCTTCTTTTACATGATTTAAAAACTTGTTGAGATTTGATAAAGACTCAGAAGTTCTGAATTCATAATGCATATTGTATAGAAACTCGTCCATAGGGTTAGGGTTTGGGGTTAAAATTAGGGTTAAGGGTTAGGTTAAGGTTAGGGTTTAGGGTTATGGTTAGATTAGGGTTTAGGGCTAAGGTTAGGGTTTTTGGGTTAGATTAGGGTTTAGGGTTAGGTTTGGTTAGGGTTTGGGTTAGATTAGGGTTAAGGTTAGGGTTAGATTAGGATTTAGGGTTAGGTTAAAGTTAGGGCTAGATTGGGGTTTAGGGTTAGGGTTAGGTTAGGATTTAGGATTAGGTTAAGGTTAGATTAGGGTTTAGGGTTAGGTTAAGGTTAGGGTTAGATTAGGGTTTAGGGCTAAGGTTAGGGTTTTTGGGTTAGATTAGGGTTAGGTTTGGTTAGGGTTTGGGTTAGATTAGGGTTAAGGTTAGGGTTAGATTAGGATTTAGGGTTAGGTTAAGGTTAGGGTTAGATTAGGGTTTAGGGTTAGGTTAAGGTTAGGGTTAGATTAGGGTTAGGGTTAGGTTAGGATTAGGGTGCTAACATGCGATCGGACTTGAGAGATGTGTCTACTTACAGGCTACAACCCTAACCACTAACCCTATGGACGAGTTTCTATACAATATGCATTATGAATTCAGAGCCTCTGGACCTTTATCAAACCTTAACAAGTTTTTAAATCATGTAAAAGAAGAATATCCACTGTAATCCATTACTTACTTACAATATATTCTCACTTTATACTAACTGTCTTCTGATTGACTAATAATTGTCAAGGTCACTCAAGATTCGTTCAAAGGTCGTCCTTAAATTAGAGTCTCGCCGAATATACTTTCCTGACTAGACGTACATTCAGAAGTGATCGTTACAGAGATGTATGATTCTGCATAAGTAAGGCTTCCTATACTAATGTAAAAATTTAACACAGCTGTCTTAGATCTAAGAGACTACATTATTCATTTCCTTGGTGACCGCAAACACAAAACAACTTACCTTCGTCGAGCTGAACGCCTTCATCAAACCGTTCAAAAAGATCGTATCTCCGCTTCCAGTATTTTGGTAATACTTTACTGCTATTATAAAGGACTCTGGCACTATAAAGTAATGTCAGAAAACTATAGTACCATACACCTTGTTTCTTTTTCTCAAAACTTCTGTCAAACTGACAGGTGCGAAACGTTGAGATGGAACTGCTATTTCATCATCCGAACTACTAACTTTATTTTTATTAATTTCATTTTCATCATCACTGGATGAAACATCCGATAGCGAGTCGATAACACCTCGTGAATGTAACGCAAACATCGAAAAACGTACGATACTCAATCCTCAAACATCGAACTTCGTTGCGCAGAAGCAGATAATCTAATTTACATCATGTTCGATCAAAACCTAAACGATAAAAACAGTTTATTATGGAAGAAGAGAAAATGAAGTGACATTTAGAGTAGTATACCTCGATATCTTGGAGTTTCTTTGAAATAGAGAGCGGAAGATCTTATTACTATTGTTTTCTGCAGAGAATTATATTGCTTATCGATTCGGCCTCAGATTTGTACTCTGGGGGACAGAAACCGAGAAATTTAGTACCTTTGGTTACCTCTAACTGAATGGCTTTATTGAATGAATTTAAAAATGAAAACTATCCGTTTATTTCTGTAAATCGTACTAGGGCTAACTCATTGTATAATGACGGTAGTGGAGGCTAGACCCTGTAGCGGTAAATAAATCCCCAAAATAAATAGCTCCGTAAGTTTTCAATATTGGATGCTGACAACATTAGTTTTAATGGACTTGCCTAGCTGATGGCGCTCGGTCATGTATCCGCACCAGATCACGAATGGGAACGCCGTGCTCAACATCTACTGCAATCGCTAGCCAAATCAGATCAGACGATCCTCGATATATTGATGGCCTATCAAATATATCTTCGAACCTCCTCAATTCTGTTTCTTGATGTCACTTGGTGGGTACGATACATATTAGAATGTGTTACTGGTTAAAGCGTTGTCAAACTCCGAATAGCTGTGACATCTTCAACCCAATGGCACTGGTCCCTTATCAAATCAGTCGGAACACTAAACGTCGAACAATCCACCCATCTTTGTCAAGTTCAAGGATAGCTAATACCTATTATTGGATTACACGCCATGGACAGGCCAATAAGGTGGTGGTTGCAGTATATTCATTGTGTCCACTTTCACTAATATATTTCCGTAACAACGTACTTTGTGTTATACGGTCTTCAAAGCATCAATAGTAACTTGATACTGTAGTGGTTTTGCTTCGTTAATCAATCACCTTGATAACTGTTATAATATAGATCTCAATGGTGTTTGAAATCAGAAGGCAGTGGGAAGCGGCAACTACAGTTTATCATCGGATAGCATAGATCACAAAGATATAAGCACATCAAGCAACTTTGAAGCAGAGAGGTGAATGTGCGTATGCGAGCAAATACAGAGAAAAATTTGTAGTAAAATCGCAAAAGAGCACAGTAATGCAAAGCAAAGGCTAATAATAGTATTAGAGTACATGTATACATGAGGGAGAGAAAGAACTATCGAGCGGTATTTAAGCTACCAACATTTTAGCTAGAGTCTGTCATGTGATCAAGCGTACATGTTTATACAAATATAATAGGGATCATAATAGTACAAAGAACTATACGAATTATTACTGTTCAGGTAACACTGTCAAGTAAGTTATTCAAAGTCTCCAGTTTTTACATTCGTTGGTTATGAACTAATGAATTTAAATCAATGTACACCTCAGGGTGACGAAACCCCAGGAAAGTACCAATATTTTGTTTTAGATTCATTGAACTCACCCTTCAACATTTTCAAAATAGTTGTGAAATTGACTAAAGGATCTTTAATTAACGAGGGTCTTGACATCAGAAGTTGCACATGGACATACATTAGGTCCGCTGATGACCTAATAAATAGAAATATCTCAGCGACCGTCATATACACTGACGACGTAAAGATATGGAAGTTCATAAGAAGCGAAAAGGACATCACAAAAAGCAGCGAAACGAGTGATTGACACAGCTTAAATTTTTCATACCAAGATGTAATGTTACCACAGGGTACAGATAATCCTCTTTTGATTATCTCCACAGAAAGCGATCTACGTCTTTTAACAACAGGGAACCTAGATATTAGCGTAAACTCCACTGGGGAATCAAACAAAATACATTTGAATCACCATTTTTAGTGAAGACAGCATGATGTCAACAGTTTATAATGTGTGGCGAATTCTAGTGGCTACGTGAATTGTTTCGTTAGATTAACGGCCCAATACCACACAACAGTTCCCTTTCTAGATAGAACGATTTTAGCCTATCAATACTTATTGTGTCTGCAAAATGTAATCGATAGACGAACTCGCCAATAATAAAGGGAAACGCCCACCACCACATTAACTCCCTTTGACGTTGTACTACTGTATCTCTTTATTAACCAATCACAGTTTGATGTTCACTGTAAAACAATATTTGCTTGTTGACTCATTTTTCCTATTCTCTGGCTACTGTTCGGTATGTTACTTGTCTGTTTTTTCCCTGTATTAATAGACCGTACAGTTTGTTTGTACACTAACGATGTTAATTTATGTTCTAGAAGCAGATAAAGTTTATCTAGCCAAATAGCTTGCTTGTTCTGACTTTGGCCAAACCAAGACTCTGTATTCGACGGTCTAGAGAATAGCTCAGAATTAAATCTGTAGGAAATTGCTTCCTACATTGTCTGTGGTTCCATGTAGGCCTCGAGTGTTCGCGAGTATTCAATGCTTTGAACCTAGACATTTTGTCTCGTGATTGATCGACGTAACCTGAAAAGTCAAGTCTTAAACTTTCAATACAAGGAATAATAAACTTACATTGCAGCCAGTTCTGCTACCGAACACTGTGAGTCAGGTTTGTTAGCTGGTTTCAATCTTAACATGAGTAATGTCAGTAATCCTCTCCCTTGAGTGTGTTTTGAGTATTATACTAGTGCGGCTTTTAATTGACAATTTGGACGTTCCATCAGCCTACTAAACTGATGGTAGTGCTGTGTGAAACCTATTCTGCAAGCTTCCAGATATTTTGCTAAGCTGCTGAACTTCCAATCACCTGTTGATGTGATAAGCTTACCATAAATGGTCACCCAGTTCTGAATGAAACGTTTTGACACAGTTTCAGTTATGATGTTAGTTAGTGGTGACGTTACTAAAAGCCTCATGAGTTTGTTTAAATGTAAATATAAAATTAAACGATAAGATACTGGCTAAGGACCAACTTAATGTACACGAACGTCGACAAAATGTGCGTCAGGCTATCAGAAAACTCTGATCAGCGAACTCGTCCGACGATCAGCCACTAACTGTTGGCACGTCGAACACTCTTCAAACCATTTTTATGATTTTCCCGAAAATTTGTCAGTGTATGAACATATTTGGTTAATTGTAGCTTTTGCTTAAGGACGAGATGAAGCGTGAAAATTGCTGAATATTAATTTCCCCATATTTTTTGGGACAAAGAGTCAAGGTATTTCTCTGGAAGTATAACGTTTACAGTATCCTATCTCTGACAGAACGAGTCATTTTGAGATGAAGACCAGTTACAAACTAAAGAACTTCGTAATAAGAAATAACTGTTAGGGTTAATTCAGATACGCGCGTTATCGCCCAGTAAAAATCTAAATTATATTGAATGAATTAATGCCGGTGTAACGACCGAACTGCCAGTATTCCGTTTGAACGCAGGACTGACAAAACAAAATGTATTCGGATAGGCTAGACTACGTTCTTCTGTATAGCGTACGAAGCATTTTTGAGTTACTCGTATTAGATTATATCAAAACACAAACTCCGTGCTCAATTTGAACGGTTAGAATTTAAGAAATAGAACAAATTATATCAGGACAACAAAATACCTCAAACGGTACAGCCTGTGTTGTACAGTCAGAAGTCTCTCTTACTTAAAGTAGCGCGCT